CCAGAAAGTTACAGTAAGTGCCAAGGAAATGAACATGACCAAGGGAACAGTTATCTGTCAAAATACTGTCAATGATGTTCATAAGGGCAGCTCGGAAGGTAAGAGCAGCAATGACCATGAACATGCCCTCATGACAGCAGGTGCTTTGGCAAGGAATGAGAGTGCCAAAGATGCAGGGAATGGGCCTGGAGCTCTGCTTTCTGGGAATCCCCTCCATGCCAGTGACGTTTCTTCAGTAGTTCTGAGCAGCACAGGGGCTGGGCTGGCTAATGTTGCCCAGGAGGGATATGAGGCAGTGAGGAACTCCAAGGGAGAGAACTTCGTGGTTACTGAGACTCCTTCCTTCGAAAATGGTTCGGAAAGGCAAATGTCCATGGAGTCATTACGAAAGGAAATAGGGCTCTGCAAAGATTCTCAAATCAAGGAAGCTATTTTACAATCCCCAGAACTGTCTGACACACTCCCAGAAGCCTTAAAGAATATACTGCAAAGCAAGCTGAAGAAAGGACATGTGCATCCCAAGCAGAAGGGCGAGCCCCTGAACTACTCCGACACTAAAGCTTTAGTGCAAAATTTGCTTACAATGGTTAGAAGCACACGGCTTGGGGGAGACACGTCTCGTGAGTCAGATCTAGAGCAAAGGAGTGATGATCCCAGGACTGCATTCCTGGCTGCAGAGCCGCACGCCTGGGAGGCCGCTGCCTTGCTCGGGCCTGACTGCAGGAGTCCCGACCTGCTTCGGGATGTCCTGAAGCAGGAATCCTGCAAACAAAAGATGGATGATCCCGAGGAAAAGAAGAATGAAGCAGGCCAAGGAGTAAGAGCTGCTGTTCCTAAACTTACTACTTCTCAACTTGGGCAGATTTTTCAAATCTCAGCTGGAGATGGAAGTGCCTACAAGTTAGAGGAGCTGCTAAGCAGTTTGCTTGCAAGCTCACAGGTCACTGGTGTCACCGTAGGACATGATGGTAAAGGCCAAGTAGATGGGCTTTGTACTCTTTTCTCAACAGAACAATCAGAGATTCCCAAGGAGAATGTGGTGGAAGATGACCCAGCTTTTGCTTTGAGAAGTGACCAGGAACATGAGAAGACAGAGAGCTTTTCCAAAGGCTTCCCTGAACCTGTTCAGAAAGCAAATGAAGCAGCCCTGGAGGACAGCCCAGCTGGCATGGTAAGGAACTGCAGCTGGGATGGGCACTGTGCCATCTGCTAGAGGAACTGCGTGATATTTTTTAGGTTTGGGAGAACGTAATTGAACGAGAAGAACTGTTGAAAAGAAATAAATACAAAAGAAATTTAAAATAACAAATACAAGTAAAAAATTTAAAAGAAATACAATTAACCAGGCTTTTTTATTGGCTAGTTTCAAATCTGCCGGTTTGTAAAACCTTTTCTTTTTACAACTCATTTTCAGTACAGTGGAGTAGAGCAGTGTTTAAAGCTAACAGAGAAACTGCAAAAGCATTTGCCTGTGGTTCAAGACATGAAGTGCTACCTAGATAATCAGCAGCCGATTAGTAGCAACCTGGAAACACTGAAAGAAGAACTGGAACAATTAGAGGTCAGTAAAATGTGCTTCCTACTTGTACTTCAGTTGTGGGTGCAAGGAAAGGCCAGTAGTTAAAAAGGAGAGATTTCAAATATAATTAAATTGGATTTAAATATTTTTCTTGCTTAGTAACAACACATTTTGCATGTTTCTCTTTGCAGTCATTTGAATCAGAGCTGGCTGCCTTTGCCATTATCCTAAAAAAAGATAGGAAGCTGGCAGAAGAGTTTCTAAGGCTTTCTCCTGGAGATGTTCCCAAGGAGAAACTTGAAGAGTTGAAGATAAGCTATGACTATTTGCAGGAAGCATTTTTGATGGTCTCAGATACGTCTTCAAAACGGGCACACCAAATAATCTGTGCTGTTGACTCTGAAATGGTATGTTTTGATGGGGACACCTGTGTGTGTCTCATTACAGTTGTCTTCAAAGGAATTCAGCCAAAAAAGAAGGGAGTTAATATATATATTAAATATATAGCCAATATATAATATTGGCTTTATTTAATATGATGGAAAATGTAGTTAAACAACAGGGGCCTAAATACATCTATAACTTCCCTTTCTAGTCTAAGCTTGCCGTATCGCACCAGCAACTTCTAGGCAAACTGCAGGAGTATTCAGACTGGATCACAGGGAAAAGTAAGGTTGTGAATGACTTCCTACTGGACAGTAGTGACACAGAAGACATGAAGCAAAGTTTACAAATCCTCAAGGCAAGTTTTTTTTTTTTTTTTTTTTTTTTTTTGGGGGGTTTTTTTTTTTTTTTTTTTTTTTAAAATTTTTTTTTTTTTTTTCCTGTGGGGGGTTTTTTTTTTTTTTTTTTTTTAAAAAATGCTATTCATTTTTTGTAGCTGTTCATTAACCCCTATTGCTTAAAGAGAGAGCTAGAGATAACTGCTTAAAAAGACAACTTGATGCTGATCCATGAAGAAGTACTGTTTATTTGTTTTTTATCCTTAAAAGTGTTTCATAAACTTTGGATTACTAAAAAAAACCCCAAACAACAACCAAATCTTGTTTTTCTTCTGATAAGATTTATTGTAGGAAATCCAGCCCTTCTTTTATGTTACTGGTATTTCAGTTATTAAAATTATATCTTAATGTATAGGATACAGATTCTTCATCAAAGTTTAATTAACTTCCAAATCAATTAGATATAGGTACTTTATGGAAGCAAAAAATGATGAAGGATAATAAGCTATTGAAAGACCTCATTACAACTGTCACTGAAATGAGTCAAGAAAGCAAAATAAGTCGATTTTTAATTAATGTTCATACACATATATGAACATATATGAACATATATGCATGAAGGATAAAAATACTATTTTTTTGTGCTTTAATGGGGTCCCAGTATGGGTGGGTATCCCATAGGCATACACAGCTGTAACTACACACAGAGTTTGCCACACTGCTGTGCATGTCATTGTGGAGCTAAGCACAGAAATGCTTGTGGTAAACTTGTAAACAGCTCTAGGTCTTGAGATGGGTGTTTTGTAGAACTAACCTGCCATTCGAGTGAACACAGGCTCGCCATAAAGCTTTCAGTGTTGTAAGTCAGCCAGTTCTCAGACATTCATGAGAAAGGGATGAAAAAGAGAAGTGCAAGGTTATCTTATTTATTACTTGACCATGGATTATTGCATAGAAAACCATGCACAAAATCATTCAGATGCCTGGCTGAGCATGTCGGAGTGATTCTGAGCAGAGGTTGGATTTACTGGGCTCTCAAAAGTGTTTTGGAACATGGGTCTGACTTGAAGGATAGTGATATTTGTAGGGGTTTTTATCCGTACTGAATTTGTCTTCGTTCCTTGTCATTTGCTTCCCTTCCTCTCCAGAACGCTGCCACGGAGCTTGGCTGCACAAAAGTGCAGTTGGAGGCCGCTGCCTTTGACGTCCAGTTCTTCATCTCTGAACACGCCCAAGATCTCTCTCCTAACCAGAGCAAGCAGCTGCTGAGGCTCTTAAACAGCACCCAGAAATCCTTTCAGGAGGTGCAGGAAGCAGTAGCAGCTCGAGGGAGACGTTTAGAGGCTCAGCTACAGGCAGCGCGAGACCTGGGGGATCGGAAGGTTTGCCTTTCTGTGCACATGTGTGCTGAGTGGTTTCTCTATGGATGAGGAATTTGAATACCAGCATGCAGTACTAAGTGCAACCCTATCCTGTCCATTTTTTTGTTATGGATGTGTTCATAGTTCTACAGAGACTGTACTGATCAAGTTTGGTGAATTCTCAATTCTGTCCTTTCTTGGGGCAATCACAGCTTGCAGAACAAGCGTATTAGATGGCAGACAGAAACGGTTTCATAATGATCTCTGCAGCCTGAGGCTCCCAGGCCTGCTCTTTTGAGCAGCCGGGGAAATTTACTTGACATTCCTCACAAGTATTGGTTGTTCAGAAGCTCCAATAATAAATAAAAAAGCAGTCAGCTCAAGGCTGCTGCTGCTGCAGCTATACTGTGCCATTGCTTGGCACTGCTGTTCTGCTGGAGATTTTCCATTTTCTGATCTGCCAAGTCATCTGCTGTGCAGTCTTTGTCCTTAGGGTTAAAATGCTGGGTTTGTTTAATCTAGTCTTGCTAGCATGACTTGTTTGGGCCGAAATGGGGTAGAAGGGCAGATGCATGAGGATATCAGCTTGCAGGTACGAGATCTAGATGCCAGGGCACTGGGGGCTGCTTAGGGGCTAAGAGATGCAGTTACCTCTTCAGCTGGTACAGCTGGCCAGCAGGAGCAGCCTTTGCTTTCATAGTCAAGGAGGCCAGGAAGCCACTATGGGGCATCTCCTGCTCTGCCAGAGAAGCACAGCGAAGCCTTGCAGTCACCATCGTGTCACCACCACCTGGATAACCAAAGGATTTTTAGCCTTCTGAGGACCTGTGTTGTTTTGCTCTTTTGTTTCCTCTCCACTCTGTCAAAAAAAGTGTAAAAGAGGGTGAAGCAGAGGCATAGATGCTTATGTAGGACTTGGTAGCAATAATGATCTTGCATGTTTTGTTCTTTGCTGCTGCTTAAAAGGTCAGCATTGTCTATTCAGGTAACATATGATGCATACCAACAGAGCTAACACAGAATCACAACTAACCTCTGTTTTGATGTTCTTTTTTCAGCTTTAACAAGTGTTTATCACAGGCTTCAAGCAATTAAGAGATTGGATTTTCACTCCTGTTGTTTGGAGATTTCATCTTTCACATAGTGTGCATGGCCAGACTTCTATTGGGCAACTCCATCAAACACGGTCTCTTTTACTTACAGCATATCTGAGGTTTATCCATAACTCCTATACGTTCACCTTGCTCTGTGTACCACTGCTATCATGTTTACAGCATACGTTTAAAATCACTGCTCTGTGATGCATTTTTAAAAGGCAGCTCCTATTAGAGTGTCTGTTAGCTTCTAGAGCGAGGAAGTTTTAACTTCATTGTCCAACTGCATTTGGCTCCGATGCAGGATGTGGCTGAACGGCAGCAGGAATGCAAGGAGAAGCTGCAGGAAATGTGCGACCTGCTCACGCAGACCGAAAACCGGATCCTCGGGCACCACGAGGCCCTTGTTATTGGGGACAGCAAGGCCGAGCTGGAGCGCTGCCAGAGCAGGCAGGAGGTAGGTGCACCCCGATCGGGTACCCTAGCGAAGGCTGAGCCTAGAGGGCAGCGACGGGGCGTTTTCACGGGGAAAAAGGCTGTTGGATGTGACCAAAGGAAAGTAGGTTTGTTTGGATGAGCAAAGCAAAGGTCTGAAGGAGTGTCTTTTCTTTCAAAATATTTGAGACTAGAAAGCAGTAAAATAGGGAGCATGTACAAAACGTTTCCAGATTTGTTATATGTCTCTTTAGCTTAAGACTGTTCCTGTCAGATGTGATAAAATCACATTTGTTTATTATATTAAAGTCGCATTCTGGCTTTGTGTCTGTGATAGGGAGGATTTATCCTTGTTCACAGTGTTCCTGAGCTCCAGCAGACTTTCTCTTGCCAGAGGCTTTCCCGTGCCTCCCTCTGGCTTTCTGATGAATTCGGGTTCCAGGGGCTGCTCAAGGACTCCTAGGTGCCCTTAAGGAGCAGATCCCTGTCCGTGTGTCAGCTTCCCTGTGCCTTGCAGCACGATGAACCCTTGCTGCCTTTCCCAGGCGGCATGTGGCAGCTCCTGGCTTGGTGCTTGGCTCCAGGCTTGGCCCGAGAGAGCAGGGCCAGCCCTTCACGAGACATTTCCAAATCCATGAGACTGGTGGCAGGCTCGGTCCGTTTCCCTCTTTGGAAGCCAACCCGTGTGTGCTGGTGTCCGCCTTGTCCATGAGGTCTCTCCGGGCCCAGGGAATCATTCCTGACCCAGAAGGTGAAGCCCAAAGCGTCCTTTGGGAGCAGGTCCCTTGGCTGAGAGCCACTCTAAGCACTGGGAGCCTCCTGGAGGCCAGGGACCCTCACCTAGGAGCTTCTGCTCTCACCTGGCTGACACTGCTCGAGATTTTGACACTTAAAGGGCTGGAGAATTTGATCCAGCCCTTCCTCCTGCTGCTAGTATTGGTTATAGCAGTTAGACCGCAGAGCTCCAGCGAGCTCCAAAGAGGATCAGTAACATGTAAAGGCAGAAGTTTCCTGACTCCTCCTGCCTCACTTTAATGATCTTCAGAGTAACACAAGCAGCAAGTTTACGTTCCTTTTGTAGTCGGTGGAAAAACATAAGTACTCTCCAGAATTCCTAACCTAAATGTGTGCTCAATAGTCCATGCAAATAAAGGATTTATGTAATATACAATATACTTCAGTTTTTAATATAAATAAATATCAGCTATCCTTGACTGTGTAGCAGGCAGCATAACAGGCAAGTTGTTGGCTGGCTGATTTCTTGCAGTTGCAGCAGGGTGTCCAGAGCAGGGAATGGGGGTTAAAGAAGGTTTCTCACAGATCACGTCGGGGGAGCTTTGGTCCTTCATAATCTGTATGGGATGGGAGCACAGGCAGATTGCTCAGAGAAGGAGAATCTTGTTTCAATGCAGTGTTTCCAGGCAGAGCATTCTAAAATACTCGCTGAATTGTTAAAACGAGTTCTTGTTTCAGCTGCAGCAAAATCTGCAGTCTAAAATGAGAGTCAGATCCTTTATGTCTTGTAGCATCACGTATTACACTACATAGAGAAGAAAGCATTTTATTATTTCAATAATTGGGTGGATATATTCCAAACCAGAGGTGTTTTAATAATTAAAGCTCCTTTCAGGTAACTGGAGGGCAGATGTTCTGTCTGGCACTATCATATGACAAGGCAAACTGCTTTGGTTAAAATAATATAAAACATCAGTCCCATGTAAAATTTAATGGAATTAAACCTTATTTTGAGATTGAAAGGATTACATTATGATTGATTTTTTTGATTGCTATACCAAATTACATGAAGAAAAGAGTTCTTACGACATTTCTGGCCTGACTAAAACTAGGAAATATGGGGAATCTTCTACCTAGAAAAGATGAGCACAAATTTCTGCCTTGTTTTAGTTCCCTCTGCAACTTTTAATTACAATAGTAATAGAACTGAATTTCCCAAGAGGCTTGCCCTACAAAAGATAGTGTAGCAGATTTACTGTGTCTCATGTAATATATACATATGTTTTATTCTATGTATATGAGTATATGGAGACTAGAATATTTGAGCTACTAAAGAAAGAAAGAAAGAAAAAGGCCTCGGTCAGAAGAGAAGTGTAAACCAAGAGATTTCCAAATTGCAGTCATTTAAAAAAGAACTTAGCTGTGCTTGGAGATGATAAGGGCTTTATCTATCTATCTATCTATCTATCTATCTATCTATCTATCTATCTATTTATTTTTTAAAATAAGCTTAGTCTGTAGGTCATTAGCATGTCACATAGACTTAAGCAAAGGAGGACCGGTGTGATGCTCGTAGCCAAATCAGAGGTAGTTCCTGATCAGTGTGTATAAAAACCTCAAGGGAGGCAGTGAGGAGGAGGAGGGGGGCGGCCTCTTTTCAGTGGTGGTCAGGGATAGGACTAGAGGAAATGGCTTCAAACTGAAGCATCGGAAGTTCCACAGGAACTTAAGGAAGCATTTCTTCACTGTGAGGGTGACAAAGCACTGGAACAGGYTGCCCAGAGAGGYTGTGGAGTCTCCTTCTTCGGAGATCTTTAAAACCCGCTTGGATGCAGCCCTGTGCCACGTGCTCTAGGTGACCCTGCGTGAGCAGGGGGGTTGGACTCGATGACCTCTGAGGTCCCTTCCAACCTTCGGCATTCTATGATTCTATGATAGTTATAATAGGTTAATCTGAAAGTTCTTGTGATTCATTTACTTAACCCTATTTACTTTCTCTTTTCCCCAAAGGAAATCCAAAAAGACATGAGGGAGAGTGCACAGGCTTTGGCAGAGGTGGTGAAAAGTACTGAAATGTTCTTGAAAGAGAATGGAGAAAAGTTGTCACAGGAAGACAAGGCTGTTCTGGAGCAGAAACTAAACGAAGCTAAAACCAAGTGTCTGCTTCTTAGCCAGAAGGCAGAAGAATCCAAAAAAGAACTGGATAAAGCTATGACAACTGCAATTAAGCAAGAAACGGAAAAGGTTGGTAGGCAACCATTATTTGTTTATGCAAACTGTTTATGGTGCTGAGGAGATTAGACTCAAAACTTCTTACTCACAAGCTAAGGAGAGATTAAAATCATATTTCATGTGGGTAACTCATAAACTATTTGCCCTTTTATATTCTTGGTAAAAATAGCAGCATTATGTGTCAATTAATACACTAATGTATCTTGAATGGTCTGTTTGCATATACTATATTATGTAGCACCTAAAGAAGATTCTGAAACTGTGAATTTTCAATGTAGGTTGCAGCCATAGAACAATTGGAAGAGAGTAAAAATACGATAGAAAATCTCCTGGATTGGTTATCCAACGTGGACAAAGAAGCAGAGCACGGTCGGAAGCTGAAGCAGGTGATCGAGCAGAACGGGACGCACTTTGAGGAGGGAGACGGGCAGATGGTGGAAGGGGAGGAGGACGACGTCAATGGCAACCTGCTGGAGCTGCAGCAACACAGGGACACGCACGTGGACAGACTAGTTAGAAGCACGGAAGATAACCTGAACCAGCAGTATCAGAGAGTCAAGGTACTGTTAGGGGACTGATTGGATACGTAGCTGTTAATCCTCACTCAGAATGATTGAATTCATTCACATCCCTCCTAGAGTAGACTTGGAAATGGGCACTAGGGAATTGGTGATAAGCACTCATGGGTGTTTTAGAAGGTACTGCAAATTCACCGGTATTTAAAATTGTTAAAATGGTTATTTGCTGTTAAAAATAAGAAAAGGAGATGTTTTCCAAGGGATTCTCTCTCTTTCAACACATGTTGAAAACTGCAGCAATGAATCTATTGTTCTTAGTTTCTTCTTGTCAGAAATCCATGTAGTACAATCAAATTATTAGTTCCTGTGCGACAGGTAAATAATATGTGAGAAGCAGGGACACAAATTCATACTTCATATGACTTTTCCCCTAATTTCCCCTAAAATAATCTCATACAATTCTCCCGGAACATGGATAACCCATAGCTAAAATAATAATCTGCATGTGCTACTGTCAAGTTTTATTCTACAAACTTGTCTTTTAGACATACAGGAGAAAGTGCTTGTGTGATAAATATTCTAGTATCTCCAAATTCTACTGATGCAGACATTGTTTAGTCATGTGCTGTGTATCTGACTGGATTTACCTTGTGCTATTGCTTAAAATTTTGAAATTGTACATAAATATGACCAAGAGTTGAGCTTTAAGTCAGAATATTTTAAAAATATTTTTTAACACATGAGATTCCTATCGTTTGATGAATTTTGCTTTACTTGTAAATGGAATTGAGCAGAGATTTCAAGACAATAATGGTCTATGGACACCTTATGAGATGGTGCTGATAAGGCTCTTTCTGTTTTGCTTGCAGGCTCAACATGAGAAAATCATGTCACAGCAGCAGGCTGTCATCATTGCAACTCAGTCTGCCCAGGCACTGCTCGAGAAACAAGGCCACTACCTTTCCCCTGAAGAGAAGGACAGGATGCAGAGGAACATGAAGGAGCTGAAGGCCCAGTATGAGACTGCTTTAGCAGAGTCAGAAAGGAAAATGAAGCTAACTCATTCTCTGAGGGGAGAACTTGAGAAATTTGATGCAGACTACAGTGAATTTGAAACCTGGCTGCAGCAGTCGGAACAAGAACTTGGTAATTTGGAGGCCGGCGCTTCTGATTTCAGTGGCATTATGATCAAACTGAAAAGGCAAAAGAGTTTTTCAGAAGATGTTATATCTCACAAAGGTGATTTGCGGTATATTACCATTTCTGGACAAAGAGTTTTAGATGCTGCGAGGTCCTGCAGCAAAAGAGATGGTGTTAAGGTCGACAAAGAGGGTATTGATACTTCAGCTACCTATACTGAGGTGCAGAATAAACTGGACAGCGCTTCAGATCGCTTCAAATCTCTCTATACTAAGGTAAGTGTTGATTCCCACTGAGCAGGAGAGGCTGCTATAATGGGTATAGCAGCTTGTGTTAAAAGGAATTAATCAGTGAAACAAATTACTGCGGGAAGCTGTAAAGTTCACAGCATCACAGAGTGGTTAAGGTTGGAAGGGACCTCTACAGATCATCTAGTCCAGCCCCAAAATTAGGTAACAGAAGGAGATGCTTTTCTAGGAGATCTGCTTTAGTCAAGCATTGAACTAATTGCTGAACGGGTTAAATTTTATACCTTGTGTTACAGAGGAGGCCAGACTAGATTTCCTCATTGTCCCTTTGAGCCTTAAGCTCTCTGAGTTTATAATGGTGCAAGATGCCTGAGTAGCATTTTGAGTTGGAAAGAAATTGTAATACTTTTAGATTGATAACATTCCTTTATTTTCCTTGCAGTATTTCCCATGCTTATTTATTTGTCTCCTTACTAATGAATTGACTATAATAAGAGCAAGATTACACCAAGATTTACGTTCAAAATTTCCATTTGATTTATATTTATCATAAATAATGTGACCCAGTGTGGCCTTTGTTGTTGGCCCAAAGCAGCAAGTAAACACCCACTGATTTGAGAAGATTGACTCCCATTTCTATGTCAAATAAACTTGTGTATCCTGTGTGTGCCCTGGAGAGGGAGGACACTTCATCTGCCAGAGTAGAACCAGCTCAGCTTAACTCGCTTGTTCCCTGTGCTGACTCTTCAGCTGTTAAAAATGACAAAAAAAAAAAAAAACCCAAAACAACAAAGCAAACAAAAAACCCCCCATGTTGTTCAGTACTGAAAAAGTCTGGAAGTGGAAACTTTTCCAGCAAGATATAATTATGGTTTTAAGCCAGACTGACTATCAGGTTGTCTTGAGTTGCCTCGAGTTGCCTCAAGCACCTCATAAATCTGTAAGATCGTTGGTTCAGACACCGCAGTAGGGCTGTGCTGGCCACTGGTATCCCGTTGGTCTGCAGCAGTTGCCATCTTTGCCTGGCAATTTTCATCTCTTTAAGGTCTCCATGCTCAGAAGCATGAACTCTGTGAAGTCATGGATTTGATCCCTGAATTCCAACTCCAAGTTAAACCCTCTTCTCTTAAAAGATGTGTGGAGAAGACTGTCTACTTAGAGAGGCTCGTTTTTATTTCCTCACATCATTTGTAGAAAGAGTGAAGCTAAAGGCTGCAGTGTGATGGCCTCTAACTGGTTTGTTAGATTGTTTTGGGTGGGGATGTCAGCATTTCATTGCAAGGTCTTCACAGGGCTTCATTTTTATGCTGCAATGCCAGCAGCTTGACTTGATCTCACATACATCAACTCGCCACATTCAACCTCTTGCATGTATATGTTTAGCCCAGCCCTAACAGAGGTGCTGTGAATATCTGGCACTTCTGTATGCAGAGCAAAACCAACAGAAAGAGGATTTTTTGTATTAAATTGAGCCTTAAACTTAAAGGAGTTCTGATTTTTCAACTTTTGGTAGTAACTTTATTTTCCTTTTGTAAAAGCTTCTTTACTTCTTACAAAACCCTATTTATGAACAAATATATGTATTTGCATGCACACATGTGAATTTGTAGGAATTCTAATTTCGTCTGGGTTTGTTGGAGGAAGCTTAAACCAGTCCTTAGCTAATCGGTCGTGTTCAGGGTTTGCATTCTATGTTGCTCCACTAGATGGAGTCCAAGTGTAAATATTGAAGTAAAATCCAGTTCGTCTCAACTTCAGAATACAACTGTTTAGAGTAACTGTTGATAAATATTGTGACTTGATACAATCAGAAGATTTTTGCAACTGTCACCAAAGAGCCTGGAAGGATTACAGGGGCATTTCTGTGTGACAGGCTTTGGAGCGGGCTGGTGTGCGGGCGCTGAGGCCCCTTGGGCATCACAGGGCTGCGCTCTTCAGAGAGCAGAGCACACTATGTGTCCTACTGACCTCTGTCACTTTGGATTCGCTGGGCACACAAAAGGATTTTGGAAGCCAGAACCTGCTCTCTGTATTTCAACAAACATAGAAATGTCTGATCTTCTTTTTTTTTGGATAATTTCTCACTTGCATCTAAGTTTCAGAATGCTGACACGCTGAGGCTTTACACTGAGGGAACAAAAAGTCATCCTCAGGCTTTTACTAGTCTATTACAGCAGGTTGGATTCCTGTTTCCTGTGGCAGTGAATTGGTACTAAATCATGTGTGAGAAACACGAACTCTGTGGATAAGTCTGGGCTCTCTCTAGGGTTAGTCAAGATGCCAGTTAGTGGAATGATGACAAGAAAAAATCCTACAGTATTTCAGGAAATGCAAGTATGATTGTGACATTGTTATGAAATGCAATCCACAATTTAATGCCTGGTTATTTGTTTGATTATTTTCTGCTCCTTTAGTGTAGCATCCTTGGAAACAACCTTAAAGACCTGGCAGATAAATACCAGCACTATGAAGATGCCTCCTCGGGGCTTCTGTCAGGTCTCCAGGCCTCTGAAATAGCTGTGAACAAACAACTGTCTGAGCCCATTGCAGTGGATCCCCAAAATCTCCAAAGACAGCTAGAAGAAACCAAGGTAAAAAGCTTCACCAAGCACAAGTACCGTGTTCTAACTAGAACTGCTTTTTGTCTGAAAAGCAAGATAATCTAATATAATCCGCGTGGCTGAAGGCCAAATTCTTGCCTTGCCTGAGTGCATGTAACTCCTGGTCCTCAAATTCAGCTGCCTCAAGTGTTATCTGAGGAACTTTATTTTGGAAATTTAATGGAGCACCAGGTTAGTGTTCCTGTTGTGAAAGCAAGATGCATTTCCTATCGCTGGGCAAATGATAAGGTTTGGAAGTCCTATGGCAATCTGGAAAGTTTGAGAACTAGGCAAGGATTTTGCTGACAGGATGGGGCTTGTGTCTGAGAAGACCATTCGTTGTTGTCTGTGACTTTGCTTTTTCTATTCACGCTTTTATTCTGCTATGAGGCATTTTGTAAGGAATTATACTGCATCAGCCCTGAGATCTGATGAATCTGTTGGTCTGCTGCAGTCATACCCAGGACTATATGCTCTGCAGACATTGAATATAACCTAATTCACCCTCTGTAGAAGCATTGTAGCTTTTTCCCTGAAGGAGTGAAGGAGTATCCTAGCATACACCAGACAGGATGGTGATGGAGCTTGTCCAGGTGAACACCAGTTCAGGTGCACAGAATGTAAGCTTGCAGAAAGCTTTAGGAGCCCAAGTTGAAGGTGACGGGTAGAAAGTGTCATTAGGACGGGGTTTGACAGTGACGGTGAGTCCTTTAGCCGTGTTCCCCAGAGGAACCTGCCAAGAAGTGCATCTCCCACACTGTGCAGGGAACATCTGCTGCTGGTCCTGCCCATCACACCGGTATGTGACAGAGCAGACTCAAAAAAGAAACCACTGCAATGTTACAGGATTTAGGAAAATGATTTTCTTTCATAAATGGGAGTGTAAATTTCAGATTTTTAACACTAGAGCAATTCGCTGCATTTGTGCTTGTAGGCAGCACAGAAGCAGAACCAACACCAATGCCAATCTGAAGCTGTTTATTTAAACTTTTCGGTACTTATGTCACAAGGAATTATATCCTGTCTAATGCCAATTTTCATGCAAGTAACACAAAAGGGGGGAATACTGTGGCTCCTTTATGAAATGCTCATGTGGATTACTTGCCACACAAAAGAGCACTCAATGAGTATCAACTGGGAAGAAGGGAGAGGCTGCAAAGCATCAAAAGATTCAAAGGAAGAGCAAAACCAGGGGGCTGCAGCACGAAAGCCAATTAATGGGAGCGAAACAAAGAGTATTGCTGGAGAAGTCAGGTGTTGGGAGTTAAAGCTGCCCCTTGTAGCCGACACATGCAGTTCATAATCCCGCTAGACACTGACCTTGGCAGCGTGGTGCTGTCTAATCTCTTTAGAGGGATTAACTGTTCTTCAGAATATTCTTCAGGGCCTCTGGCATAAGCTTGTTTGCTTTCTGTCAGCATACTCAGTTCTCAGCTATATATCATTTTTTTGTGCACATGCACTATTTTTACTTAATGTAAGGAAAATTCCTCTTCAGGTCAGAGTTTTACTTCTCAAATAGCAAGCCATAGGAAGCCATAGCTCTTGTGGCATGCCATTTTCAGGCTGCTGGCTGTGCTGTGGACAGGAGCTTGCCCTCTTGGTCCTGGCACCGTAGTTGGGATCACCCGGCGCAACATCCGCTCCTCACGTAGGCAGCCGTGTCAGAAAAGAAAGTGAGAGGAGAGGGAGGGACTTGCGGCAGGATCGGGCGAAGGAAGACGAACACGTGTCACATGCAGGAGCACAGGGGCCTTCAACAGGTCAGGCACCCGTCCCTTGACAGTTGTGCTACAGGCACCGGGGCAAGAGGCTTTCAGAAGCTGATTCCACCCTTTCAGAAGTTGATTGCACCTCTCTTGGAGCTGGAAAGAGCCCTGGTTGAGATGGTCTCTAAATCTGTGTTCCTTGACTGGATAAACTTAGCCAAAATTCAGTGTCCCCAGCTCCAGGAGCTGCTAAAACTGTGAAGATGGTCCTCATGTTTCATGGTAATACACTGTGGTTTCAGTGTCATTGCTGCTCATCACTGGACACTTTCCCCTGGAGCTGTTCCCTGATGCTGAGTTGACAAATACTTTTATTTTTCTTTTGGGTAACAAACAGATGAGTTAGTACAAATGGTCTTCAAGAAGTTTCATCAAAAGACACATTCTCAAGTTCCATGCCAGCAAGCAGTGCGTCAGAGTAGTAAAACAGAGGATAAATAAGTTGGTGTAGAAAGTAAAACCAAGACCAGAAAGGCAGGGGGTTGTCATAGCCAGCAGTGAAGATCTTTCTTTTATGGAGAGGTCACACTTGAGTTGGCCTCTTCCCAGCACTAGGTTGAGGCTGTGCAACGTGTCACCAGTCCTGCCTGTGTAATTTTTAGCTGTATAGAGGATAATAGCTGGAAGAGGATAATTGTCAACTATGGAATTTTACAGGTTCTTCAAGGACAAGTATCTAATCACCAAATTGCTGTTGAAAAACTGAAGAAAGCTGCTGAAGTGCTTCTGGATACAAGGGGAGAGCTGACCCCAGACAAAGATAAGATTCAGAAAACACTGGGTAAAATGTTCATTTTTCTTCATACCTCCTTTTATCACCTGGCTCTGCACCCAAGTACTGGAAGAGACAAAATACAGAGTTCCCACATTCCTGTGTCCCTGTGCTGGTCCAGGTTTTGTTGAGTCATCACCTCTTATAAACACAGTAACTTTATTGTTGGTCCATTTCCCACATTTGAAAATAGGCTCTTCACTTAGTTGTCATTGTTTTGTTTTTGCCCGTTTTTCAGGAATAGGAACTATGTTTAATTTATATGCTGCAAATGAACATGTCAGAGTTAGTGACTTGCTGAGGAGCATAAATTCTCCAGTGGGCAGTTCAAGATCAAGGAACATAATCCTAGCTATTGCTTTCCAGCGAGTTATTGCAAGCTTGCTTAGCCAAGATATTACCTCCTCCTGACTTCAAGAAGCTCCCTTATCAGTTTTCTATGGTTGTGGGAAGTGTTGCAGCATGACATTCACCACAGTGTGAAACTTGAATATTATGTATGTCACACTTCCATCTCTTATTGCAATCCCACAAGTAACTTGCAGAGCAGCAAGGTAAATCAGTGGTTGCCTTGCATCTTTGAAGTCAGGGATGAAACTCCATAGAAGGTACAGGGAGTAGGGACTGGTATTATCTGTGGTCTTGCAACTATAAACAACTTGGTATTAAACAAATTGAACACCCTTTTTCTTGTGGGAAGAGGAGGGGGTGGTGGCAGTTCCCATTTCACTCATTCTTGCACATGTAAGCTCTACTCCTTAACCCTGAAATCGTGTTTAGATTCAAATGAGGCCAAAACCATACACGGCCAGAATACACTAATCACAGTTTACATCTATCTGTCTATCAATATTAGGTTGAGAGTGAATTCGTAGCTTCTCTTTATTAAAGTACTTCCTTACACAGAAAACCTTAGGAGCAGAATAAGACTTTTCAGACACAGAAACTTTTATTATGAGAGAGCACAGTGGTAACTCCTGCTTAAATTTAGTTAATGAATGAAAAGTTCCTTTTCCATGAAGGGGGGAGCAGGAGGAGGCTGCTGCAGAAGATGATGATTTCACTGAACGATGAAAATAATCTGCTATAATTCCTGTGCTAACAAAGAATAAGCTAATTAGAGCATGTTGGTAAAGGAAAGTTGGGTGTGCAGGTATATGCTCCTTGCCAGGCTTCTCACACCCCTTCTCCCTGCCTGTGGTGCAGTTTTGTTTAAGTGCAGCAGCACAGACCTGGTGTTGAAGAGGAGCAGCTGTCATTCTGGTCATGTCCAAAGTGCTGCTGAACCTCAATCTCAGATAAATTAAAGAATTTCCCACTAAACTACAATTACTGTTTTATTAATATTTAACGTGTAACAAGTGTACTGTGACCTACTTGCTCTTTGGGGAATTTTAATTGTTTGCCCATAGGAGGTCACCTAGTTCTTTTCCCTGCCTCAAATGAGGACCAGCTCTGCCCATGTCATTTTATGTCACTCCTGACACATATGGCCAGTGAAGTCTTCTCAGTTCATCTGGGATGAGATGGGAGTAATGAAGTATATTCAGAGCAGCTGAAGAGAGGATCAAGGCAATTTCCTTATTTCAACCTATTTGGCAGGTAATTAGTGAGAGTAACAAAAGGCTTTACAGTTGGGAAAATACAGTGAAATTAAGGAAGAAAAATATCCTGTTTTTCAGAAGAATTCTGCAGTGAAGTACATTAAACCACAGACTAGTCTAATCCTATCTAGAATTATCACGTATATTTTAATACATCTGACACAAAGTTACAGTGTCAACGTGCTCATTAGGAAGTAGTGCTACACAGGCAGTGGGATGGAGCACAAGAAGGGATACAGAAGAGGCTAAAAACTCCCCTATGGTGTGTGCACTGAGGCTCCTTGGGTGGCACAGTTTGATTTTCAGGAACTTTCCCAGGTTTATCCTGGGGGGAGGGTGGCCTCAAGAGGAACCATCTGGAAGAGCCTTTCAGCTCTCACAGTTCCACAAGAGAGGGGCTGCAGAAGAGCTGTCCGGCTTCTGCCTTGATCCTTGGGATCAGCCAGCAGCTGTTGGGAGTCAGAGCGCCTGGGAAGCAGCCCCTGAGCGCGGGCGAGCAGCCGTAAGCTGTAGGACATCTTCGGCCCCTTAACTCATGTATCCTTCTGGCTTTCTGCCCGCATCAGTTCTTGATCGCTGCTTTTTTGTGTGTCTATTTTTGCTGAATAAAGTGATGTTCTTGTTCAGTTCTACCCTAGGCTTTTTTTTTTTTTTTTTTTTTTT